CAAATTGGATTTTTCAATTTTAAAACTTCCATGTAGTACAGGGACTTTGGTCAAATTTATCAAAAACCACTAGGAAAGAATTCTCCATTTTAGTTACATTTTCTGATGCATATACATGAACACATCTCAAAATTTTTACTTGATAATTCCTAGTGCATTTCATCTGGTGGCAATCCCATATGGACAGGGTACCATCATAGTCACTTGTTGCTAACTGTGGCTTTATATAAGGACTGTAAGCAACTGAACTATAATAATAATAATAACAATAATAATAACAACAAATATTATTATTACTAAAAAATTAACAATCATTTTCGGTACCTTATTTTAGCATGACAAGGTATCTCTCTCACTGGGTAGTGAATGGTTGGGAACATCCTAGCCTCTGTGACAGTATTGTAATCAAATATCTACACAATAATAATAGGATTAGAATCAACCATTCTATCAATTCATATGTACATGCATCTCTCTCTCTCTCCCCATTTCTAATTACTAAACTACCTTCACTTTCTTTGTCACTCCACCAACAGCAAAGAAGTCTCCATCTTTATCAAACTCAATGCTGGAGACAATACTGCTTGATCCAATGGGCCCATCAGCATAAGTGAGTGTAGCCAGTTCTTTAAAGGAGGAGTACTGAGTGACGGCAGACAGGGTCTCACGAAAAGCAGTGGAACCTTCGGACCTGTACATGTACAGTAAATATTAACAGTACATGATGTAATTGTATTAGAATTATTAGAGAATTAGAAAGCACTGACAAGTAAAAATAACTACATGTACATTGAATGTGGTGTGCTTATTTCATTTATTCATAAACATAAGCACTCAGAGTTTCCCATAAAGCATGCTAAGAGAGCTAAACAGCATCCTTCATGAGCTGACAAGCAGTTAGAAGCATACTGTATACACTGCATAGAATTTGGAACAACTTCAAAAATTTATGAAAAAAAAATCAAAACTCCATCAGAATCAGCTCAAACTTTCAACACAGCATAAGAACATGTATATGTATCAGAAAATATTATAAAAATTTAGAATTCTCTCCTTTTCCTTTTTGGTAAAATTTGGTTAAAGTCCCTGTACTATAGTACAGGGACTTTGACTTGCTTTTGGAGTAACTTGATAATCCACTGACAAGAAACTCTAGAAGGTGTCAAGATCTATGCCAAAATCCTGTGGGACCCTGCATGTGCTTTATTCTTGAGTCAATCCTTACCTTAGTACTGTTGAGTCAGTGCTTGATGGTCCACTAATCGAAGGGACAGAGTCCAGTGATGTCTCTGGAGGAACAAAAGAAGAAGAAGATCCACTGGAGACAGAGGAAGAGGAGGAAGGGACCAAAGAGTCAGTATTGAGACCAGAAGAAGAGAGATGAGAATTGACTGAAGGAGAGAGAGAGAGAGGGGGGGAGGGGGAAAGAGGGGGGGGAAGAGACGAATTAAAGACAATTACATTGTAAGTTGAAGGAGGAGAGAAAAAGAAAGAGAGAAGTGGTAACACTGTGCATGTAAACACATGTTACCGTATACATGTACATGCACATAAACTAAAATGTGCAATATACATGTAACACATTTAAATAAACGCTAAATGTGTTATTCGATT